CTTAACCCTTAACCCCTGAACCCTAAACCCTAAACCCCTAAGCCCTACACCCTAAACCCCTTAAGCCCTAAAGCTCAAATGCCCCAAAGGAGCCCCGCCCCCGACCCCCGCTGCCCGACCCCCGAGGTGCACCGTGCCGAGCTCCAGGATGGTACCAGGGTGGCGGTGAAAATCCAGTGGCTCCCTCAGGAGGAGCTGCAAAAAGCAGAAAGGAGCTTTTGGGCTTGTAGGGTTTCGGGTTTAAGGTTTTCGGGTTTAGGGTTTTAGGGTTCAGGGGTTTACGGTTTAGGGTTTCGGGTTTAGGGTTTAGGGTTTAGGACCAGCACCAACACCAGCACCACCATCATCATCCTCATTGCCATCATTTTGATCATCTTCCTCACCATCGCCATCGCCATCGCCCCCTCCTCCTCCTCATCATCACCATCACCATCATCATCATCATCATCATCGTCATAACCATCAGCATCATCATCCTGGTTTTGTTAATGATGATGGTGATGATGATGGTCATGGACATGATTATGATGGTGAGGATCCACCATCACAGTCATCACCATGACCATCTCTTCGTGATCGTCGAACGGACGCTTCCGGTGGCCCTGTTGTTGGGCCGGGACGTCCTCAAGAGTTTGCTGGATCCAAAATGCATCCCTGACGGAGGTACCCTGAGCTTCGGAAGGAAATGGCCTCCGACTTTGCAGTTTTCAAGACCATGGGCACCCAGGCTGAGTGGCTTGTTTTACATGTGGTCACAGAGTGTCTTGCATCGCCCGACTTGGGCTTCACCAAGTAGCGCTGCCACGGGGGGGGTAGTGGCGTGCACTTATTGAGAGAGCCTTGTTACTTTTCAGCTTGCCCTGCCACAGATCAAGCAGATGGCTGCCGGATACGACCTCATGTGGGTGGCCGGAATCTCGGAACTTGCCTGCCTTTCAGACAAGCTTTCCTAAGCTTAACAGCAAGGCCCTAATGTCTCATCTCCTGATACTGTCCGGCTCTTCGGACGTTCTTCGCACCTGCTTGGCGAAGTCTTTTTATAGTCCCTGCCCGCCGGCCGCCCTGGCTTCTGAGCCTGGGCAGACATGAGCTTCTCGGTGCCCTCCTTGCATTGAAGGGCTTTGAGCTCCCTGTGTTCTTGGTGCAAACAGTCCCTTGACAGAGACTCCTTAAAGATTGCTTGCATGCGAATCTGATAATCTTTCTTAGGTGGAGGATTTCGAAAAGGCCGGCCACTTGCTGCAAGGGGAAGCTTAGAGTGGAGAAGGTGTGACGGCGGGCCGTGCGCGCTTTCCTTTCTGATCTGTGATACCAAGCGCAATGTACTCGCAGGGACAGCTTTGCTGCTGATCTGGTCGACGTTTCACCATGGATCTTGTGAACACTAAGTGGGTAGATCTCTAGGTCCCGAATATAGTACGGCAACCTTATAAAAGGGACCCTAACAGGGACCCCAATTTAGAGAACTACCTAAGTCAGTTTCTCGCCATCAGTCTCCGGCGTTTGGTCTTGGTCTCCAACTGCGGACTCTAATGCAGGGGCCTAAATAGTTACCTGTACTATTTTGGGGGGTTCCTGATTATAATTAACTTGATAATGGGCTCCCTAAAACCCTATTCTAATTATTTAGGCCCCTATATTATGCTACTCCCATCACGTCCCCCCTCCCTCTCGGTTTGACCAGAACCTCACGCGGGAGCTGGACTTCACCCTGGAGGCTACCAGCGGCGAGGATCGTTGTTCCTTGCACCTGCCCTGATCCGTCTCTCAACCCTATAAAACCCTGTAAACCCTATAAACCCTATAAAACCCTATAAAGCCCTATAAAACCCTATGAAACCCTATAAAAAGCCCTAAAACACCCTAAGAAGCAGCCTCTAAACCCCGATGTTGTTCACCTGAGCCTCGGCGTGGCAGAGATTTGTTGTCAGCGGAGAGCGCCTAGGCTCTGTCCGAGAGTCGACAGCTGCCATGGAGTTTTCGTAGAAAGTGAGAGCAGTTTAGGGTTTGGGGTTTAGGGTCTATAGGGTTTAGGACCTATAGGGTTTAGGGTTTAGGGTTTAAGCTTAGCAAGGACTTTCAGCCACATACACAGGAGTGCAACAGTTCTTGTGCCAATCCCCTAACCACTGCGTCAGGTTGGCGGCGACGAAAACTAATCTGGCCATGATGGCGCTTCGAACCATGATAGCTTGAGACCCAATAGTGTACTATTCCAAACAAACGGCTTTGTTGAATACGACGAGCAAGGGCAGTCCTGCTGCTCTTCCATTGCGCTTGTGAGGAGACAGCGCGGCAGCTTGCCCACCGGAACCCACGAGTTTACGTGCCCAAGGCGGCCGTGCACCTGTCTGCTGTTGCAAGTATCCGGCATGTAAATTAAGCTGTGGGGATATCGTCACCAGAGGACGATCAGCCAGTGTGGAAGGAGGGCGAAAGAGTGGTCAGCGTCCCTCGGTCCTTCCCACGGCTAGGCGGTCGCATGTGAAAGATTGGGCGCGACCATTGCGTTTATCCGCAAAATTCGCGAAGCGGGGGGAGGAAGGTCCGAAGAAACCGGATGAATTGCAAATGATGGGTGGTGTTGATGCTGGCGATGTTGATCTCATGATGACGATGACGATGGTGATGGTGATGATGATGATGATGATGATTGAGCACAAACGCAGCGAAGACCGTGAGCAGTCTAGAGAGCTCACAGCTGAACTCCTGTGAGCTTCGGATATAAAAGCCGGAGGTCTTCAAAGAGTTCTCTTCCTCGCGGATCATCGTCATGGAGTATCTCGAAGGCGGGGCCCTCCTGGATCGCAGCCCGGGCCACCTCTCTAAACAGTGTCAGAATCGGCGTCTGCGCTCTTCCCCCACAAGACGGAAAGCCCGCATGTCCCCAAAGAAAGGTGCGACCCCAGAAGCCAGAACCCGAGTTCTCCCAACGAAAGCTCCGCTATAAGGAATGTGGGGCCCGGGGGGGAGCTGGGGGCCAGGTCTGCTGAAGGCCAACGATCCGGAAGGCCCCGGAGGGTTGGCCCCGAAGTTCCTGCAAGCCTGCTTGACGATCCTGAGCCGCCGGCAAGTCATAGATGGACGCCTCATAACCCTAAACCCTAAAGCCTAAACCCTTAAACCCTAAACACGAGTTGCAGCTTTGTTTCATGCCGGGTCCTGCTGTTTTTTTGGGAGGCCTGCGGCGTGCAGGTCTGGATGTGGATGAGCCAGGGCCCGGGCGTTGCATACCAAAACTGGGTCCTTGTTGGCTACAACTTTTACATGTTTGTTATAATAAAAACCCAATGAGGATGAACAGTTAGCATTTTTTAACATATCCCCAACATGGAACTAGAAAAATGGAGTCATGCATGGAAGGTTTTCTCGATTGCAGGGTTGCGTTCGGCTGGTTTCTCAGCAGCCGAGCGCTCTTGCCGAAGGTGGATGGTTTCTTGAGACGGGAAGCTGCGTGAAGTCAGGCTTGAAGGGCAGGTTGTCGCCAGCATCTTGGTTTAGGATTTAGGGCTTAGGGTCTAGAGTCTAGGGTTTAGGGTTTAGGGTTTAGGGTTGGGTGCTCATCGGCGTTCCTCCCTGTTCAGTTGGAGATTGCACCAAGGTGTGCCCAGCTCATTTGCGACACATTCGCAGAGATGATCTTCGTGCACGGACGCGTGCTCCTTGCATCGCCCTGCTCGGGCCGACCTAGAAACTCTTGTTGCATCCCGTGCCTTCATGCATCCGATCCCTGTTGCATCCTTTAGCCAGAAGGTGGTGTATGATTCGCAGCCGCACATTTGTTGGGCACTTGTTTTTGTATCCTTCGGAGTGGCGTCGCCTAAACGCGTCGAATGTATGTCCCTGTGAGTATGCCGCATGTAGCCATGAGTATACGCTGTCCGCAATCAATATACACTAACCAGGTTATACAAACCTACCGCTGCAGCTGCGTCGTCTTGCAAGCGGCGAGTTCATGCGATGAGTGGAAGGTACACGCAGATCCCCATGCCGGGAACATCTACTTCCGGGCAATCGAGACAGGCTGGAGCTCTGCGGGGCCTGGAGCTTTTTTCACTGCTGCATCAGCAAAGTTTCTTGAGATCTTGCCGCCATGGATCAGGAGAGAGGGGAGACTTGCGGAGCAGAGGATAGCCGCAACTGCCAGGACTCTTCTAGCCCTTGCCAAAAGGATCGGCAAAGAGCCCCCCTAAACCCCAAACCCTAAACCCTAAACCCTAAACCCTAAACCCTAAGCCCTAAGCCCTAAACCCTTACTGTCACCAACAGGAGATCAGATCCCCAACTTGAAGTCCGAGGAGCCTTCCCTTTGGCCCGAAAGGAGCCCCCGAAGGCCCCGTCAGAAAAAGGCTTCCAAGAACGAAGGGCCTTTGGGTTAAAGTAGAGCTTAGGAGTTTAGGGCTCAAGACCTCCGAAACCCGAAGCCTAAATTGGGGGTACCTTAGTATGGGGTCCTTATTAAGAAGGATCCTACTATTTAGGGGTACTTTATTAGGGTCCCCCTATTATATTAAAGAAGCCGCCATGACACCGCGGCTGCGCCGCGGCTGGCCGCTGCGGCTGCTCCTGGGGCTCGGGCTTGGGCAGCCCGGCACCTTTTAGGTCTCTGTTCCCGGGTTTAGGGTTTATAGAGTTTATAGAGTTTATAGAGTTTATAGAGTTTATAGGGTTTACAGGGTTTATAGGGTTTACAGGGTTTATAGGGTTTAGGGTTTCGGGTTGGGCTGTGGGATTTGCTTAAAACCTTAGCCGGTTCGGCGTCGAGCTGCTCGTGCTTTAGTTCCCGATTCCGGGTGTCCCTGTGTCGACTCCCTGTTGTCCTGGTCCTCACCCTAAACCCTAAACTCTAAACCCTGAACCCTAAAAGCCCTGAACCCTAAAACCTCGCTAGACCCTAATTAAACCCTAAACCCCCTAAAAACCCTAAACCCCAAACCCACGTCAACAAACAACCTTTCTCGAAGAAGTGCCCCGAGGATCTCACAACTTGGCTTCGTGCCGAGAGCCTGGCGCGCAGCCGGGCTTCCGGCCAGGCGCGCTGTCCAGGGCAGGGATATGGGATGTCCCAAAACCAATTTATTCATACATATATGTGTTTTTATATACTTTATCTATTTGCGTATCTATTTATTTGTTTATTTATTCTATACCTATACATATATATATATACATACACATATGTATATATGTATATATGTATATATGTATATATCTATACCTATATCTACATCTACATCTAGATCTACATCTACATCTACGTCTATATCTATATGTCTATATCCATATCTATATCTATCTATCTATCTATCTATCTACCTATCTATCTATCTATCTATCCATCCATCTATCTATCTATCTATCTATCTATATCTATATATATATATATTCATATGTA